TTACACTCCGTTTGTGTCTCTTAATTGTAAATATTCCAAGGAATTTATCCGATAACGATAATCGCGGTCTTTATTCGCGGACTTCTGCGGTCGCAATTTTTAACCGTTTTAATATTCTAATTTCTTTTCAAACTTGGAGTAGATAAAAGTAATAATACGCTGTACATTTTCAATTGTTTTAAGTTCACGAAGAATGTTCCAATAATAAAAAACTAAAACAAAATTAAATAATGAAAATACTGTACTATACCTTTCCACTTCTCTATTTTAACAAATTCTCTAAAATCTAGGGAATCAATGAAAAGCATAATCGAACGAAGAACCGATAGCATTTTTACCAAAGAAATTTCAACTAGACCGTGTGAGAAAGTGTAACTCAACGTAGTGCCAAAAATCCGAAAAATTAAATATTCCGCTAGTTTCGCGCCAGAATCTTAGGACCATTAAAACTTCACAAGCAGACAGGCAATTTCCATTGCGAAACTAAAGTCGTTGCCAAGAACCATCCGTTCGAGATATCGCCCGAAAACTCAAAATACGAATCCACGTGGTGGAAGATTCAAATTTTCAAAAAGAGAACTCCAATTTACGCAAAAGTGAACCTCGCAACAAGAAATGCAACAACACGACAGCATCATCGAACACGGGTCTCGACGTTTCCAACCAGAGCGAAGTTTATAACGCGTCGCGGAGCTGAAGTGTCCATGCACGGTTTAATTATTCGCGTATGTCTGTAGAGCGGATGCACGGACATAATGCGCCACGTAATGACAAACTTAATCGTTTCCCCTTGGGTGTCGTATCGTTCGTAAACGACGATGTTATTATTTTGAGGACGTGGTCAGCCATCCACGTATGGGCGTGAAATCACAGTTTCTCTTCCGCCATGCGCCAACTATCACGGAGCCGAACGGATAAGCAAGTTGAGGAGCAAGCAAAAGTGTGCTCATGACACTGCATCATTTTTTACGAGCGCAGATTTCACCACGGTTATTAATGTTTCTTCTGCGCTGTTAAACGTGATCAGTTACTTTTAAAATTTTGCTCGAAACGTCGACCGGGGAAGCTGGGTCATCTGTGACCCGTATTACTTGCGGGGGTTGAAGATTCGTGGGATGTGCGAAGTAGGTCAAAAACACTGCCCATCTGGAATATTTTCGGTATTTTGTAATACGGAAAAATGTTATCGATGTTATCAATTATTGGTAGTTATTGATTTATTAAAAATTGGTGTGGTGGGACAATTTTTTTGTCGAATTCAAATTTAACATCCCCAAATCTACGAAATTTTTGAATTAATAGCCACTTATCGATAGTTATTAATTTATTAAAAATTGATGTGGTCGAATAATTTTTTTTTTTTTTGTCAATTTCAAACTTAACACCCCCAAATCTACGAAAGAGCTTTACTCCTAGGGCTTTACCCCGAGATATCACAGAGACGTCTTGTGAACGTCTTGAAGGCGTCGAGTGAAAGCTCAAAGATCTGAACGACGTCCAATGTTACGAATTAAGATGTCTTTCAAACAAACTTCTTACTAACAAGTTGAATTGTCCAGATACAAGTATGGTATACAGTGAGGCAGTGTTAATGGAATGGTTCACCCTTCTAATCGCGTTCCAGGAGATGTGGTCGTTAGCTACCACAACATTATTCTACCGTCTGACTCCACTGCGAGCATGTTCCAACATTATATTCGGGGTCCGTTGCGAAGTGAAAGATTGCAATGTTTGAACGAAACTTTGTTTAAATTATTTATAGTTTCGTACAAATTAGTAAGTATATCTCACTGGAAATTGTAAACCAAAATTCGTTGTTACCAAACGATTAGAAAATATATTGGAAATTTCAGTGCTGTGCACATCGTTACTATAGTGTACACACTCCAATAAATAATAAAAATTCCTACAATAATATTCCACGAATTTTTAACAATTTAAAAAAAAATTAAAATATCGAATTGAACATGAAAGGAGGAATTCATGCGTGATTCTTTTGTGGTCTATCAGAATCCTGTTTAAAATGACTTCATTTTTTCTACCGAAGAATCTTCCCACAACGTCTTTGTTAGTTCCACTTTTGTTATCTTCTTAAAGTCCTGGTACGATATTGATATAGTTCCTATCGGTGGGATGTTTAGTGCTTCTTTAAGCTGCCTTATCAGCAAATATTGTGCGCGCCTATGGACCCGATCTCTCTATCGACCGCGCAGTACCTCCAGCTTCTGCTCTGTACAGACTTCGCGAAGATGTTATTTCGCTACTTTCTACCATGCAGAGATGAGAAGATGGCTAGCGTGACGGTACAAGAGTCTGTAACCCTCCCAAAATCTCCACATTTAGGTTCTCAGAGGCAGAAACTGACACAATAGTGCAATCTCCGTATCCATATGTGATGCGATAACAGAGATAAGCTGTGAATAAAGAAACAATCTAAGAAGCGGTTGCAAAGGTAAAAGAGTGATCGTTGCAGAATTATCTATAATAGAGAGAAATTTGTATAACAATCATGTTCCATTATCAACCACTTGAAATCCAACGGAATTATACTAGCACACGGAACGTTAATGTTGCAGAAACATAACGTGTATATCCAGCATGTAAACAGGTAAGATGGCGAGAATTTGTCTATGAAGCACAATATGGGCGAGAGATGTGATAAATATTATACGCGATACGACAACTGTTTATTTAAGCGCCGGTTATTTACACAAATGCTGTAAACACACTGCCTGGTTGTTGGACCAGAGTGAAATTCGTACGCATATTTATAGATCTAGAGTCGCTGTCGGTATCTAACTTCGACTCTATCAACACTTTCCACGCAGGTATTCCACGTTTCTCTTGTAATTTTTAAATGTAGGCTTTTTGGGACGGTTTATGGGTTGGCATGCGCCTCTTGGCTAGGACCGGCGATATCTTTGCCATTCGACGGAGAGTCGGTTCTTAGCTTCGATAATAGACGGAGAGTCCGAAATAAACTACTTTGCACGACATCCCACGTAAAGTTCATTAGACCACCTCCTACATAAACGAACTCGAATGGATTATTTTTTTTCTACAATCGTGTGAAATTTGCGCTATCAACTTCCTCGCCAGAGATCAACGATCGCCTGATCAATCGCTGTTTTCGCTCAACGGCCTGTCCTATATCCCTTCCATAGACTATACCTCACGATCCATTTTTCGCACCTGATCGCGTAATCAAAGAAAGTAAGTTAGTAGAGGGTCCACCTGCTCTCCTCGAAGAATTTCACGTGAATGGTCGAACACTTCACCGTTGCCCCACAACATCTTTTCACGACTGTGTTACGTTTTCACGCGCTAATTCCCGCAATTCCTAGTTTTCGAACTTCCTCAGGCAACTGGAGCGCGGCTGAGTGTTAATACGTTTTGTACCGCAGCCTTTTTACGCGACTTTCCATTCAGGCCGCGCGTGTACCATCGATGCAAATTTCGCAATCGGAAAAAAGATTTTCCCGCCGCGGCAAGCGAGCAGTTCCATCGAAGAAAGTTCACCACTCCTATTGTCGAGGACGTTATCGAAGAGGAAAGGAAAAGGAGACGTGGCGAGAGCGAGTTTAACAGGTTGACGTAAGAGGTGTACGAAAACGGTCGGCTAGAAAGGCAGTCGAGGCGCGTACACGCAATGTCAGCTATACATACATCTTCTTCGAGAAGCAAATGGACCGGAAAACGCAATGTTCCGCGTCTGAATCAGACGCTGAACGCGCGTCGTTAGGCACACTCCTCTGACTCGCGCATGTCCTGGAAGCTTCAGCCTCCTCTAGTCATCCTCCTACCTGTTTGAGCTTGACACTCTAAACAGCACATACCTGCGCGTGGTGACGCGTGTTTTTCTCTCTCTCTATTCATAAACGCCGCACCGCCTGGAGCCGGTTTACGCAGATTGGTCTCTGTCGTTAAGGCGACTCGCTTAAAAACTGTACACGGCTGGATGCTCATTTAAGGATGCCTCGCAACGCCGGCTAAACTGTCATTCGACGGGCTCGAGGAAGGGAGGAACGTGTACACCGCGTGGCGAAAAGGGTGTCCGTCCAAGTGTGTAAACGTAGGGTCGTTGCGAAGACTATGTCGACGCGACCTGTCCGACGGATCTATACAGACACTGTTCTCAACTTAATACTTTAACGATGCTAATAGAGAGAGGTTTGTTTCCGTCTAGTGGATCGCCGACTGAGCTGGTACCTTTACCTTTCTCGCCGTAATTCGCGTCCCTTCTTTTTAAAAAAGAACTTCTGAAAAATGCAAGTACCCGCGAGGGGGAGTTCGGTGAACGAAAATTTGAAGAATTTCGAATTTTTCCGGGAACGTAGCTCCAGTGACGTTAATAAAGTATAAATGTACGAATCTGTTCATTTAATTTACATTTTATTGCAGTTAATGCATGAAATCATCGTTTGATTCTATCACAGAAACGCACAGCTGTGCAATCAAAATTAATTATACACAGTATTTCGAGTGTGTTAATTAAATTTGTAACTGTTAAATGTTGGAACACTTGTGGAATTTAGATTAAACGCGAACTATCGTTATGAAATTATTGCGAAATTTGGAAAAATTTTAAGGTTGCTCAATATATAAATAAAATATCAGTTTCCACAACGGAGACAGTGAGTGTTCTAATCGGTAATTATGTTAATAATTCAACGTACCTTTTCGAAAATGGGCGTATGGATCGCCGACGTCATTTTCATGATAGATCACAGAATGTAACGTGTCATTTATCTCGTGCGGCGGAAAATAATAGTGCGCCTTTTCCACGTACCACGCGCCGCCACGGGGTGAAATGATTTTCCCATGGAAAACGCCATCAGTGATGCTTCCAAACACGTGGCTGCCAGGCTCACCTAAAAATAAGGAGAATCGTATATAATTATGATTGATATCTTTGTAATAACATAAAATAACGGTAACTAAACACAGGCTCGTATATGTGTATAAATAAATAATTACAAATAAAACTTAATTATTCTTCGAATCATTTATCCATAATTTGACGATTATAATTTTTTATCCTCAGTTTTTTTTTTCAGTCCTCGGTATTTTTAACAAAATTTATTAAACAGAAACTGAAATGCGTTAGGTTGTTATTAATAGTTCCAGAACACGAAGCCAGGAGAAAATTAATTTACGGTTATAGTTAGAGCCACCTGAGAATAAATCACAGCAAAGAAGGTCAAAAAGATGTTGCAGAAGCTGCACAATTCACACAATTCTAGTGGTATGTTGTACTCTATTTCCTTGAGAATTGCATCTCCGCGGAAGATTATAAATCTTGGATGACTGCATGTAGCAGTAAATGGATTGCGGTGCACACATATAAGACTGGTGGTTCATTCTAGTCTTGGAATGAAGAAATTAACTATACAAATGTACGGCCTCGAGTGCAATACTCGCGCGAGAGCTACTGTCAAACAGCGTTGATTTTCTATGCATATGCTGAAGAATGTTTTCGACGTTTGTGGAATTTTATTTTAAGAAACATCAAATTTCTGCAATTTTGTCGCATTATTTTACTCGTATTCATATTCACACCTACGAAAATAGTATTTTTGCTAACGAAAGAAAATGATCAACTATGAGATGGAATTATGTCATCGAGCAATATTTTCCTGCTACGTCACATTTCATTCTACTCGTAAATGAAATGGAACAGGGAGAGTATGTCACTTTTTAGTAATAATAAGTACAATCGATAGAAACGTAACTTCTCATATGAAAATACATATACTGGAATTTGCAGCGAAATTTTACTTCTATTTAAAAGTTCAATTTTTAAAAAATTCACACTCAAGTCTGTTAGATACAAGAGTTGTTGCCTAAAAATATAACAACTGCAATACTTTCATACAATGTATATATGATCCTACAGACAGTAGTCTAAAAAAAAAAAAATACAAAAAATAGTTGCCAAGTCTTTGGTCTTATGACACGGACGCCTAGATGCGCTATTCTCGAGAGGCCCTCCGCCAAGAAACTTTGTTTTTTCAATACTCTCTTAGCCAGATATAGTAGTGCCCGGTTAAATTGAACTGAACCATCCCCACTCTTCCCCCACCACTCGGTGCCTCGAGGTCAGCAAACCTAACACATCGGCAAGGAAAGTGAATAGATATAGCGAGAGTAAGCGAGGCGTAGCACTTGAAAGGGATACCGTTTGCGTTGCAATGAATCATCCAATGTCAAAAATTTCAATTCCTCCAATTTTCATCCTATCTTGATAAAAATTGCACCGATAGATTGCTGATATTCTCCCGATAAAAATGAGTACAAACATGACATAAATCAAACTAATTTTACCGTTCGTGAATTTAAATATCTGATTTTTAACCCTTTCGCTACGAAGAGCATTTTTTTGCTTTAAGCGTGCCGCATCGAAAGGGTCAAGAGTGCTTTTGAATCTAACTTAACCACGTTGAATATGAATACAGTATAGTATAATTTAACAAAAATAATAGTTCAATCAAATAGTTATTTATCTTAAATAATTGTCGGAAGGTTCAATATAGGAAAAGGAACATCCGCAGAGTGTTAAGAGATCTCACGTTCGTGTCCACGTTTACAAAGTGTCAACAGCCCCGCGAGTGAGTGTCACCAAACGCCAGCAACTTTTAAAACGCGTTTGCTTCCCAGGGCTTAAAGAATCGAAGTAGTAGATCTGACTTTTCCCCGGGTTGGATCGCAGGAAACGCGGACATAACCAGGTCGCCAGAGGTCGCAAGCACAAAAGTGAAAGATAAACCGTTCCAACAAGGCAGGCGACCTAATCCATAATTTAAAACGTCCCTTTACGCGCGAACTTCGGTAAATTATTAGGCTGGAAATAAAGGTCTTACTCGGTATCTACCGTGACACGCACTTTTGCATGCCGCACCTGGTGTTATCGTGGCCAATGTGAGAGCAGATATAAACGCTATACACTGTGTATGAAACGGTACCGGCTCGTTCGGATATAGGGTTTAGAATGTAGCAGCGCACACTTAAGGAGCAAAGAGATCGTGATTTATGTTGTAGGAAGCTCACGGCCGTTTAGACCATTTTCCGCGTTGCGCCGTATTTTCAAACAAGTTGAAAGCAACTTCTTTCCATCTCTGTGCACTAACAATCTTTAACGCTGCGCACCTTGAACTTACGCACACCTGCCTCTAACTTTCCCAGTTAATTAAATAACCCTGTTAAAACAACGCTTTATGACGTTTACGTAGTCAAATGCTACTTTTAGCATATTGTTAGAATGTATTTAGAAAATTCAGATGTGTTCCGGCGAGAGAAATTGAAGTTTATAGCTTAGAGGTTTTAGAAATTCGCTTCTCTCGTCTTCGATAGCCCGAAGACGTGTTACAAAGTGGGAATTTCCTAAGGGGTCATTCAGAAATTAGTTGTAACGGTCTGCAAACTGAATAGTCAGAGCCTGGAGGAAATTCGGCGTTGTTGGAACATCCGTTACCTTCCACTTTATCGTTAGACGTCGCCACCCCTTCCTAAAATGTGTGCTAAGGGTGCAAGAGAAGGGTGTTCGCGATTTCCCTTAGGTATGCTTGGTGGAAGAAATATAGCGAGGTCGTAAATCGTCATATTAGGCGAAAACATCGATTGATCTAGTAGCACGAAATTTCCTATGCGTCTTATAAGGGTTCCCCAAATTTCAAGTCACAAGCGACGAGCTAAACACGTGAACAATCAGACAGTCGATACTTCCAGCGGTCAAGTGATGCCTGTGACCGGGTCAGTATTGACCCATATCTACCTTTTTCCTGTTTTTATCATTTTTTTAACTCTTTCGATAGGGCATCGAAACGGTTTTATCGCGAATACGCTACCACTGAACGGGTAAGCTACTACGCGAACGCCAGTTCACCGGATAAGGAGCGTAGTAGTTCAATTTTGCCGTACAATGTAATGAATTGGCGGGAAGAAATCATACTTAACACTTTATAAAATTGCTTAATAATATAATTTTTTGCGAATTCTTTATGAACGACTATAGTCGCCGTTAGTTCACAGCGAGCGTTCAACGATGGCCGACTATAGTCGTCGTTAGTATCGAAAGGGTTAAATATACTGTAATAGGAAAACCGTCGCTGAGTTGATTTTGACGATCACAAACGTGACTCGAGCTTTCCTATCTCACCCAACTGATGTTTTGGCGATTGGAATTCATGTTCTTTCACGCCTATCTGATTTTACGACCTCATTACAACTCTTCTACTGAGTATACGTTGATTGGTGATTAAAGATTCTTGAGAATGACCAAGCAACGTGCGTGCAAAGAAATGAGACGGTCGTCGGTTGTTAGATTAAAGGTCAGTCACAAGCCAATCAGAAATAGTCAGACAGAAATAGTTAGTTAGAACGAAGCTGCGAGTTAGAAAACAGCAATCAATCAGTTCAGAACGCCCAGCAATCAGGCTAGGCAACAATTAACGAAATTAGCACTCGGGCTAATCGAATAAGCATTCAGGCCAATAAGAAACGTTTAGGTTTCTTCTACGGAGTTAGTTGGAAGTAAAGTTTGCGAATAAATTGGTAAAAAGCAGAAAGTAGAGCGAGAATTCAGTTTCTCGAAGACAATTCGAGTGGTCCTTCGAGAGAGAGAGAAATCAGACGGCACTACTGTGCAATATTCTAAGGCTAAGACGGCAACCTCAGCAACCGTCACAGTCCCAACAAACCCTTTTACCAGGAAATGGGAAATAGTACTTTAATCTACTGCTGCATACAGGGAAAAGTCGCAATTGAAGTGAGCGGTTTTTGGACGAAATTAGAGAAATAGGAATTGTCATACGTATCAGATTGTTCCATAGGTTTTCCTATTTTTCGTACGTTTAAAGAAGGATCAACTTTGATCATCCTGAATTTGAATTTTCTGAACTGAATTTTCACGTTTGACATTTTTCTGCATTTTTTAAAATAATGGCAAATTGTTGTGAAATTCGTATTAAGTTTATAGGGAAATTTCTGAATTCTGGATTTTCATCTACTGTTCCTTTTGTGTCATCAAAATTAATTCAAGTCTACCCGACTTAGGCAAACCTTGAATTCTCAATTTTTATCAATTATTTCTACCTGACTTTTTGGCAAACCTGGAATTCTCAGGTAAATTTTGAATTCTGAATTTTTGATCAATTACTCCCATTTTCATCTATAATTTCTATCTGACTTAGAAAAATCTTGAATTCCGAATTTTTATCTATTATCTCTACCCGATCGATGCAAATCTTCGCTATCACTTCCTAATCGAAATTTACAAATTCAAAGCTTAACTCACCGACTAAGTGTCCCTGGTAAACGTGTGAAGTATCGAGGTCTTCCGTTTGACCGGAAGGGCCCTCAATAATTAAGTTATTGCTAAAGGTGGTCAGATCCCGCTTCAGTCGAATGTGGAAGTCCCTTCCGTGTGAACGAAACTTGAGAGTCACGGAATTGTCGCGGGTAACCGACCTCTTGGCCCTCAGGTGACCTCGATGGACCTCTTCGGTAGGATAAGAGAGAGGTTCGTAGTGACGAATATATTCGTTTAATCGGCGAGCTGCAACAGAAAAAAAGAACAGGTACCGTTTTAGAACATGTCTTTGGCCTCCCTTTCCCTCTAACCATACTTTCAAACGAGCGACGCTCGGTGAAATTATACGAGTCGTTGAATTTTACGAAGAACATTTTGCATGGATTTTATTCCTTTCCATTTCGAACTTTCTTCATTACGTAAAGGTTGCATTCGTCATAGGCTCGAAGTTCTTATAACTTGTTAGCGCATCAAAACGTAACCCTCCACCTTTTCAAGATACTTACATACCCTTCCGTCCCGCGAAACTTGTGCATTCGCTACGACAAAATTGGAACGATGCGTAATTTCGTATTCGACATTTCCATTTTCGTTATTAACCGAAAGGCCTCGTGATTTCTCTCTTTTTTTTTTTCACTTTTCTTTCCCACAAAGAGAAACCGTAAACGAGTGTAAAAAAGGACCGCGCCGGTGTATACGAAAGGGAAAGAATAGAATAAACGAATTCGGTCTCTCGCAGGTGAAGAAATTTGAAGTCAAACGCCTGGGGAATTTTTGTTAAAATTATTTCGCATTTGTCAGTGGATCCACGGTCACGTTAACGAGACAAAGTGTCCCACGGTGGCTGACCTGGCTACAGTTTCTTCAGTTTGATATCGCTCGTAATTTTCGAGGACACAACATGAATTTATATTAGGTAGCTTTTCTTCACGATTCCAGCGCGGCCGTGCGCGATAAAAGGGAAGAGGCAGGGACTTTACCGTGTAGATGCCATCTATGCATCGTTCTTCCAATTTATGTGTCCACTGAGAGCTGCACAAACTTATCGGTGGCTCTGTTTGAAAAATTTGAATTGCTAAGCTCAAGATGCGATACTACGGTCTAACTACAATATCACTGGTCTTATCGAAAATAAAGTGGAAAAAGTAGCATCGATCCCGTTGTAAGCACGTAAATAACGTAAAATTTACATTTACTTCGTTGTTTCCCTCGATTTTTTAATATCTTAATTATTATTTCAAACTTTCAATTATATTTATTTACGTAGCCTTAAGGCTAAGTAAAATTGTCAAGCACTCCGAGAGACTAGACGTTTACGGTAGTCTCTCGAAGATAGATGTCCGCAAACGCAAACTGTGAAGTGACAAATAAGGACAGAGTGAACTTTCTTTCTCACTTTTAATCGTTGTTCTACGAGGTTTGAAACAAAAGAAGAAAAGTCTAAACATCTGTAAGTATAATACATAAAAGTGTAAAAAAGAATCTGAGAGACTAAACGTTCACGGTAGTCTCTCGAAGACAGATGTCTGCAGTTAAGGGTTGAATATTGGTAAAACATGCACCTTTAAATATTGCAGAATAATCCTCGCCAATTCTTGCAAATGTTCACTCGACTTAAGCCCTAGGACCTAAGTGCTAAGTCAGGCATGTCCACGCTAAGCTTCCCAGCTTAAACTACTCCCTCCCCCACTCTTCCTAACGCAAATAATCGGACTTCTTCCTGTTATCATTGCACAACGACATCAAGTATGCAATACGACGCGTTTGAACACAAAGCTAAATTTCGCTGGAATATTCTTTCGTTACAGCCGTTTTCTCGTTTGAAATATGAACGAAGCGCTTAGGACTGTGTGAACGTCTCAGAAACTGGCGATCGACTATTTCTTTATCGTTGCTTGAATAATAAGTTCGAGTGACGAGTATCTGTGACTTGTGGAATATTAAAAAATCGACGAGTGACACGAAAGACCTGGTTAATGGTTATTTAAAGAGACACCGCTCGAACTTTACTCACGGGTGAAATAAAGTTTCTTCATTTTTGGTTTTTTATTGTAAGAGTGATTTAGAAATAGAGGGAAATCATATCAGATCTGTTGATTTCTTTCTCAATTCTCTCCCTTTTATATTTACGCATCGCGGATGGCGAAAACACTTAATAAATCATATAATAACTATCTGAGACTTTCTACGGTGTAGAATATAAAGTTTACGCGAATAACGATTTAGAAAAATATGTCGAACTTTATATCTTTTGCATTTTGAACGATTTATTACCATTTCTGAAGATTACAGAAATATTATTTCTAAATAAATAGTTTCTAATTTTTTATTTTTATTTTTACACAATAAATTTTAGTCCCATTTCTCAAGATTCCAAAAATAATACTGTGCACATTTTTAAAGTCATTTTTACTTTTATTTTCACACATAAATTTTAGTCCCATTTCTCAAGATTCCAAAAATAATAGTAAACTCCCTTCTGCAATACTTTATTTTCGCAGATAAATGTTAGTCAAATTTCGCTAAATATATAGGTACCCATACTCTCACATTAAATCATAATAAAAAAACATCACTATTTTGACGAAACACAATGGCTGCTGCACATATCTTCGCAGAAGAAATATTTTTTAACAGAAGAAAAGGAAAGAAATTGATGACACGATATCTACACGTGTAACGTGTTCTGGATGTTACAAATGCATACACTAGGAAGGTCGATATCGCAAGATATTACACAGCGATACGAAACGCTCGATTCGTCTAGGTTTTGTCATAAATTGAGAAATTCTGTTCTTCGTGGCACCCTTTCTCTCGTTGAGCGTAACTCACGCCTTTCAAGTAACTTTATAAAAATCGAAGGAAATTTACGAACAGTAAGATTACCAGCGTGCACGGTGCGAGAAGAAAGTTCGCAGAAGAATAAACGGAATTTAAGTCCGGCATGAATTTCAAATTTGCAACTGGAGATCGTGATATTCGGCGTGAAAAATGAAAGTAATTTTTCAGAGTAATATCAATATCGATCGAAATAATCGACGAATTCTATATACGAATAATTCTGCAAATAAATTCAATATTAGGAAATACGAGAATATCATTATTATTCAAATTTATTTGCTACCTGTTACAAAGTAACAAACAACGAACAATAGCAAAGAAAATTGCACAACTTCAAAAATGAAATCGCACAAATCTGAAATTTACGTATATTCGTCGGAGTACTGAAAGGAAAACATGATTAAAATTTGGTAAACAAAGGTCACTTCTTCCTCAGAGTGGCGCAAGAAACGTGATTTCCAGATTTGTGCAACCCCAATTTCTAGGTTTTGCAATTTTTTGGCGAGAAATGCCCATCAACTCGTATCTTCTTTACTTAATAATTAATTAAGTAAAGTAAATTAAGTAAAAAGTTTAAAAATTAATCAACAACGTTAACAGAAGCGTCAGAATCTGTTTAACTTAAAGCATTCTAGCCTGGCGTGTGTCCTGAGATTCTTCAAGTGTCTTCGTGAGTAACGCAACCGAACGATTCCTGCATCTGTTACTTTATTTCTAGAAGCAGCGATAGGAATTCGAGACAAAGGGTTGTTTCCATCCAAAGCGAGGTAAAAGATCTACGAAAAAGGGAGGATCTTCCAGGGTAGATCGTAAGAAGCTGAAGAGTCAGCGGACTACTACGAAAATCTAATGTTTCTTCCTTTATTATCCTTTTCTTCGAAATTCCTTACGTCGCTCGAGTACAAAGGCAGTAAGGCGTCGTCGGAAGAAAACAGCCGAAGTTAGTCGAACGGGAATCATCGTTTCGAAGTGGAAAACTCGATGAAGTCAGATAAAACGGCGCGAAAATTTTCACCATTCTCGGCGAGAGAACTGTTACCGTAAAATTCGTGTTCAGAACTTCGTTTCATTTCGAATTTCCGCAGGGCGCCATTTTACACGAGAAATATTCATTTTTGTTTCACTTTTTTTTTACTTTTTTTGAATTATACAATGTCTCGTCTTCTTGCGACAAGCTTGGAACCTTTGCACAATCTTACATGAAGTGATACGAAGAGGAGTTGAACAGTGCATTAAATCGCATAAAACTCGTAACGTTCCTCGCTGCAGGCGGGGTTTAACTTTTAATCTGAATGACAGGAAATATATCAGGTAACGCAGAACGAATGGCTACGACAGCGGTAGAAAAAGAGACGAGAGCAATATTCTGAAAGCACAGAGAAACGCAGAATGATGGGATTGAGAAACACGAAATGGTCGTTGTCGCGCCTTCCAATTTTCCGACCAACGTTTTCTTCCCTGAACGTTGCTTTTTGCGGAAAAAAGCATGGGCGTGGACGATGGAGATGCGTGAACTGTGGTCGCACAGAAAATAGAGAAACGAATTAAATCTAATAAAATGATATTAATGTCGAAAATATCAAGCAGTGATATTTTTTATTTTCAAATATTCTGCAATACTCGGTGATATTTAAATTCCATTTATTTTTTATTCTGGAAGGTTATAACACTCGCGTGAAAAAACTTGAGAACATTGCAACACTGAATTAAAATGAAATACACATGTCCCCCGATTTGCACGGATGATCGGTTCCTCAGAATACCGTGTAAATCGAAATCATGGCTTTTTTGTATGAAAAACTGTGTAAATCGGGGAAAAAACAAAATGCGCACAATTTAGTCAGTGATTTAATTAAATTCATTATTTTAAATGTAAAATCAAAATAAAATAAAAATGAAAAACAAAATATATTCAGGGTCAGGGTTTAGTTTCGAGCGAGCGATCGATGAAGGCGAAAATAGCCGGTCGCCAATGAAAGATCCGCGGCGGCAGCAAACTTTACGTTACAATATGAATGCTTTTTGTGTGCAAAAAAGGGGGAAATTCCGTTCATTTTTTGGTTTAATGCCAGTGTTAACAAACGAACGGTACTAAAAAATGACTGTACAAACTTTTACTTTTAACAGTTTATATTTCTGAAAAGCCGTTATTTTGAAAACCGTGTAAAAGTGAAATCGTGTAAATAAAGTACCGTGTAAATCGGGGGATAGGTGTATAGTGAAATGAAATTAATATTGAAAATATCAAAAAAGTTTTATAATACACAGTGATATATCTAAATTTAATTTATTTTCGCTTTATTCTTCCCACGTCGAAGATTATTATACTGCGAAAGATTCATAGATAATTTCCTTTGAGAATATTGCAACACTATAGATCATTGATAAATGTTAAATCAATTTCA